TTGTCCTTTTTAGACTTGCCCTCTATTCATTTGCTGCTTGTTTTTTTAAAAAAAAAAAAAAACTAACACTTGCTTTCTAAACTTTTTGTATTCTATCTGTTTTCTTTTCATTTATTATACAATTAACAAAAGCAAAAAAGATCTCTAACACTAGCTTGCTCTGTTCTTTTTATATTTTCTAGATGTTTTCTTTTTATTGATTATTTTATTTAAAAAAAAAAACCTTGCTACGTGTACTGCATTAAGCTAATTGAGACTTGTTATAGCACTTGTATATCATTGCTCTTTTGTTGATTTTGAATGCTTCCATTGTCCTCATTTGTAAGTCGCTTTGGATAAAAGGGTCTGCTAAATGACTAAATGTAAATAAAGTGAATAGAATAATTACCTCAATGATTAAGATTTAAATTCTATCAATAACTACTACCTTTTTGATATATATATATATATATATATATATATATATATATACTTTTATGCCTTTATTATTGTTCCTCACACCATTATTGCAGATTTGTACATACCCTAAAACATGGAACCACACAGGATACAAACACATGGACTGCACACTAAGGGGCAGGCCGTGCTGTATTGGAACAAAAGGAAGGTAATAAACATTACCAAGAATTAAAAACAAGGTTTAAATGTTGGCTGTTTGCAGTAAACCTGTAAACACCATATGTTGACATGTTTACAGTCAAAAGCCAGTTCCATCGTTTCTAGTTCTTAGTAATTGGCTTTAAATAAATAACAATAAAAAAAATGAAATTGAAATTTGTGCCAGGAGCTGACTTAAATTTAAGTTCACTCAAAATCTTGTCATCCACCATAACTATCAAAACATTTCAATACATGTGAACATAAATTAAATTTGAGAGCTGCGGTAGATGGGAAAGATTTTCAGCTAATTAAAAAAAACTGTTGTGAGAAAATTACAGAATTAAATTTTTGGGGTGAATAAGCATTTTAACATAGTTGCATCCAGTTTCTCTTGATTTGACAGATTTTATTATTTTTTTTAACTATAATTTTATGCAATTTAATTGTTATATTTTCATTTGTTTATAAAGATGTGAGATTACAACTTGGGAGTATTGCCACTTCATGCGTGGATATTTCCATGAGGAGGCCACACTGTGTTCACAGGTATCCATTCACATTAAAAACATATTTTTTTCAGGTCAGCCATCAAGGTCCAGACAACAGTTCGCCATTTTCTGCAGATAGATTTCTATGGACAGAATTAATGGCAAAAGTTTGAGTAAGGACATTTTTGTTGTCAAACGTCTGTACCCTCACAGGTCCACTGCCTGAATGATGTGTGTGGCTTGCTACCATTCCTGAACCCCAATGTTCCAGATCAGTTCTATAGACTGTGGCTCTCCCTTTTTCTTCATGCTGGGTAAGGCTTAGGTCTTTATATATCCACTCTCTCTCCCACTCTTTCTCATATCTGTACCTGGAAAGGGAGGAATACTGAGACTATTACTAGATTTGACACTTGACACAAATGTTATTGACAATTTCTTTGACCATGCTCATGTGATTGTTTTTCAGTTTACTACATTGTCTGGTGTCTGTGATCTTCCAAATGACTATACTTAGAGACCTGGAGAAACTAGCAGGCTGGTTACGCATTTCCATCATCTACATTGTCAGTGGTATTACAGGAAACCTTGCCAGTGCCCTCTTCCTACCGTACAGAGCAGAGGTATGACATAAGGCTACAGCACAGTTTAAACTTAAGCAAAATGTTTGAATTGCATTGAAATGATCCCATGCCAACACATATTTCCCATTTAGTAATATTCCAGATTTAATACTATTTAAGCTCAAAAACGGCACTGGCATTTCGACTTGTCTGACACTTGGTAAAAAAAAACAAAAGATTTATACAATTGACACACTTTCAATAAGGGTCTTTGAAAATGCTTTAATAAAAATATTTCTGCTTCTATACTCTGTGACATGCATTACCCCGTAGATTTCCCTTGTAAGTGCATTATTAAAATTAAAATTTTTGTTTGTTTTTAGCAATTGAGGGATGAGTCGAAACATAATGTCTATTGCAGTTGCCAGCCTGCTCAACTTATATTGCACCCAGAACAACCCTTCAATTTCAGTATATGCATGTGAATGTGAATAAGCATGCTCTCAAATCACAAGCATACACTGTATATAGTGTAATATAATATAAACTCCAAAGGGAAGTTAAGGAGTTACCTCATATTTAAATTGACGTATCTGTAAATTTCTTAAATTGTTGTCAAATGTTTCTTCATTTGTTTCTGTTATCTTCAAAACATGATCTACTGGTGTGCCATTAGGCAGAAAAGATTTGGCTGTTTATTTTACTTACTGTAAGGTAGTCAGTTATTTATTGATGGGGAAAAAAGAGAAAAGGAAAAATGGCCAAATTAGAAAGTGAGGAAGAGAGAAAGCGAGGAAAGTGGAATGTGCCCCCAATGAAACTTGCCAAGTACAGAAGCTTAATTAATTTACCCGAGAAGCTGTTTGGGATTACTGGGTGAAATAAATAACTCTGTCTAGAGGGTAAAAGGTTCCCCCAGTGGCCTATCTCTCTCAGCTTTCCTCTGTTACTGCCTTTTCTCTGCCTTTAATTGTTCCTTTTTGTCCTTATCTGGTAGATATTAACCCGATTTGTACAACATCATATGTAACCAAAAGCCACTTTTATTGCCCTTATTCAACCTCCTGTAACCTCAGTTCCCCTCCACAAATCTGTTAAAACTCAATCTCAATCCAGAGTTTATAGCAAAGGCATTCTGAAATACACACCAGCAATCATACCTTATGCAATTTCAATTCTAATATTATCACATTAATTATTTGTCCCTTGCTTGCTTGTTTCAGTCGTCTACATTTAAATTGGAATTGCAATCCAATCTTATTTCAAGTCAAGGTAATCAGCTTCCATAGATTAAATTCCTGGTGATAGGAAAAACAAAAACAAAGAACTCCAAATAATTGGAAACATTTGGTGGTTGCTAAATAACATGAATGAGCGTTCTTTTTTTCAATATGAAGGTTTTAGATTAAAACAAATGTATAATGGGAAGTGCACATTTTAGTTGCTGAAACAATTTCTTTCTTTTTCACGATTTGAATGGCATTTCACATAAATAGCGCTGCTGTCACTGCTTGATGTGCCATTTCAACTACATTATTCCATATTTCTCAGGATGGAGAATATGAAAGCAAGGGATATATTGGAAGTCCAGAAATTCCACGAGCCAGGCTGGATATTCTCAAACATTTCTGTAGAAAATACAGAACAATATAGTCAATTCAATTAAAAAAATTACCAGAAAGAAGAAAACCCACTCTATATCTTCTGATGCCACCAACATTGGTGATAATAATGTAGTTTGCATTTTGAGGCTCAGTCACTATACTGTTTGATTTTACAGATTCATAAAGACTTACTAAAGGGGCTGTTATAAATTAGGTGTAAAAGTGTTACAGTGCCTCCTGACACATTTGTGTGCAAGGCGGTTACCACAAACTGCCTAAATGGCTTTTAACATGTTATCTACATCAAAGTGGGGTTGGCCCAGAGCTTGGGGATTCATTGTGATCCCAGTCCTGCTCTGTCTGTTATTTATTTGTTTACCTAACATCATAATAGTGATATAGTGATGTGTTTTATGGTACTGATACTAGCAGAACTTATGGTTACAGGTCAAGTTTTATCACTGCGTTTGACAGTTTTCTGTCTGTTTACCCCACACTTACCAAGACATCCTGAAGATGCCCAATATACTAAGTTTGTCACCTTCCATTCTGGCACTGCATGTTCTCTACCTGTCTCCGTGTCAGGGAGATCTGGTGATCGGTCTGTGTTATCTGCTTATTAGCCCTTGGCTAATCCAGGCTCTTATCTCCATTCTTATGTGCTGACGGAAAGTTGAAATGCACTTCTCTTGTCAGGGATGGATTAGTTATGTTTATGAGATGCTAAAAAGCACTGCTGAGCTTGCAGATCTAAAAAAAAAAAAGCTCATACAGGAAGTGAGGTCACTGCAACAATTACCTTCAGCAAGATAATCGTTTGTGCTGAATAACATATACTATTCTATTTCTACAGTATATAAACAGCATTCTACACTTTATACAGTACATAGGACATTTTTAATCATGGAATTCCTGAATGTCCTACAGTATTTGCAGTATAGTATGCAAGTACATTACAATGTGTGTAATGCTCTATCCCAAAATACAATGCGCTCAACTCTTTCCAGTGGCAAGTGAACTGGATACTTCAGCTGTTTTTTTTAATGTTTCCTTTTTGTCTCATTATCTGATTACCCATTTTGGTTAGTTGCACTGTATCTTTCAATATTTAGATTAATTTTACGTTTCTTGATATAACTTCTTTCCATTGTTCCCATTTGAATGGTCAAGCCTGTTCTGACAAAGATTAGTTATGATTTGTAAATCGCTATAGTAATTTGCCATACTAGATAAAATAGCATCACAACAATATTTTTTTGAACTTATATAGTATAATTAAAGTAACTTGAATGCTGAGCTTATTTGATAAAAATTACTGTAACAAAAAAAAACACTAAACATCTTACACATCTACGTAAATGCTCTTTTTAGTCTTCTGACTCAAAAGAATAGAACATGTCACATTTATGAAGTGATTTGTTGTGGTTGACCTGTCCGGTCTACACCTATTCTGCTCAATACTTTTACTTTCTGTTTGAACTGTTTGAACACTCCAGTTAAACACATTTTCACCATACTAACCTGAAGTTGCTAAAAGGAGTAATTTAGTAATGATCATCCAATCAGAATCATTATCAGGGTGTCTGTAATCACTTTAGGTCTTTTTAAATGGTTTGACATTAAAAAACAGTTAATAAATATCACAGTAACCGAATACCCTTTTCTATATATTCCGTTGAATTAGATTTCTTTGAATGTGGAAGTATTTCAAAATTCATAACACTTGTAAACCAAGACTGCGGTTTAGCATATTTATTAGTAGCTAGGTTATGTAGCAACTGAAATTGTCATTGACATTATTGTTCAGCAACATAGTTTTTATTGAAAATAGATTTTAAAACTCTTGTAGATCTTTAATCACTATACCTTTTGTTGTATTTTAGCTTCCTTTTGTTATATCTTAACTTCCTCACTGTGAAAATTGCCATGGAAATCAAACAGACAAATAGATCCTCCAGGCGAGCAACGGCTCAGCACTCCTGTTTTGAGATATCTCACTTTCCATGTCTATATTTATATACAACATTAAAACAGGTTACATTTACATTTAGTAATTTTGCAGACGCTTTTATCCAAAGCGACTTACAATTGGGGAATACATAAAGCGATTCTTCTTAAAGAGGCAGACAGACACAGGAAGTGCTTGTAAAACCAAGTTCTAGGAATTGTTCAAATAATTACAAGCTAGAAAGGGAAGGAATAAATAAAGATTATTAATTTATGAGGTTATTCATGTGAATCATAAGCAAAAATCACCAGTTCATGATATGTAAGCACATAGTTTGTAAAATAATTTAAGAGACAATTATTGTTACATTACGGCCACATGTAAATCATATTTGCTACTCCAGAGAAATGTGCGCAGATCTTAAAATCTGAGCACAACATGTAGGCAAAGAAGGTTACTCTTAAAGGGGTTGGATCAGCTCTCACACGCAGTGTAATCTTATTGACCTTACTCACACTCCTGTCTGATACCCTAGACCTTTGCAACTGAGCTCCTCAATAAAGTGTGACAGGGGCATGGAATCCTGCTGTGGGTGTGTGAGCGTGAGAACTGTGGAAGGTGTGGCACTTCTGTATGTGTGTGTCTGTGTGTGTGCATGTGAGAGAGAGAGAGAGAGAGAGACAGAGACAGAGAGAGATTATTCCTGTCTCACTCCTCTTCTCCTGGCCTTGCAGAAAGGTAAGATATCTCAGATTAGCCATCTGCCCAAGCAACCCTTTTCAGCCCTGACGTCATTCTAATCAGGTCACAAGTGGCCTCTGCAGTGGATTTTCACCACTGCTAAATTTATTTGGTAAATAAAATAGGTACAAGCTTAGGTAACTCTATGATCAAATCCAAGCAATTGGAAAGCTGAAATCACTGGATTCATACGTATTAATTAGTGAGATAGATGCTTTCGATATATACTGTATATAAATTAAATGGAACAGATTTTTTAAAAAATGCCCTTAAAATGCTTTTTTAAGATAAGTGGTCCAATTATGAGACCAATTATTATGTCCAACTGATAGCTGAAAATTGCTAAATGGATTCATATTTGACCCTGTAGTGGCATGTATTGACATTACAAATAAAAAAAGTGCACTTCTGCTTTCAGATTCAGACCATCTTCATTAGCCATCTGGATCACTGTTTATGCACCTGCCCGACACTCAGCTCTTTGTTTCTCTACCCTTTTGCATAATAACAAGGCGTTAATAGTGACTATTGAAACTGTGTACAAAACACATCTTTCAATTAGCAAGATGACATCAGAGACTGAAGCTAGTGTTCCAGCATAACAGGAAGTCACCTTAATCATCTAAAAACACTGGTCTTTTAAAGAGATAATTCAACCAAACATTAACATTGTGTCACCATCTGCTTCATGTTGGCTGTATCCCATGGGGTTTTTTCCATGATACACAAAATCTGTTATTAAACATTCTTTTCTCTTCCATGATTCT